GTGTAAATAGGGGCTTTGGCCGTCAAAGAAATATTCTGCAATTACGTTATCTGTGGTTAATTCAACCCCTAATGACATTGCATAAAGAAGAACAAAAATCCATGTTCTGTAATTTGTGATTACATACCAACTTACCTGAAAACGAACCAAAGTTTTAATATTAATTAGTAATTAATTAATAACTGACTTTTCGATTTTTTTGGAAAATAGATGAATTAGTTTCTTACCTTAGAGAATTTATCTTTCTGAACATCTCCTTTCTTTTGCAAAGTGCTAAGGTTTCCATCGGGTAAGTCTTGACCTAAGCTCAAGACCAAAATTCCCATAATCACATGCAACCATCCCGGGATGAAAAATGCAATTCTCCAGGCTGTGAATGAAGTGGCGCCGGCTCTCCGGATCACCTCGTAGATCATTGGCATCAGAAGCTGAGTCACTCCACCTCCCATGTTGCCCCATCCGGTCGCTGTCCCATTAACGAGGCCAATTACCTATTAACAAGGGTTTAGTCGAGTCACTGTTGAATAAAATTGATGTTTAATTTTGAAATGGTGTGCTCGCTGAATTAATTACCTTGCCATTGAACATTGTACTCATCCAGTACTGGCACGAAACGAACGTTGCGAGGGAGAATCCGATCATGAATCTAACGGCTACATATCCTCCGGCAGAAGAAACAAACGGCATGCAAAGCACGGTGGGGGCGGATAGCATGATGAGAAAGGCGCAGCCGTAGCGCGGGCCTAATAGGTCACATATTGCACCCATCACGAGCCTAGAGAAGATGCTGCCGAAGACGGAGGCAATACCGTCGTTTCCGATGTCTCTTTTGGTGAGGTTTAGGTTGTCTCTGATGATAGGAACAAGGGGAGCAGCCGCGAAGGTGGAGACAAAGCAGGTGGAGACAAAGCAGGTGAAGAAGGAGAGCCAAGAGAGGTGGAAGGTGACCATGTGGGGTTTGGCTAAGGAGAGAAGGTTGAAGACTATGGCTTTGTGTTCGGAGTCGACTGGGAGGGAGAATTTGGCGGTGGGGTCAGTCGGAATTGTGGGATCGGAGGTGACACAGAATGCGAAGGATTGTTCTTTGGCCGAAACTCCATGCATGGAGCTGCCCGGAGTGGTGGTTTCTTCTTCCTTAGACATTTGCTTAATTAATTGCGGAATGATGATTAGACTGTTAATGTTGTTGGATTGATGGGTTTATATATTGAGTTTAGAAGGGACTCCCTATTAAAATTTAAAACATGTTGAAAATTCCTAGGGTTATAGTTTGAAGCATTAATTATTGAATTAATATACCAAAAGCTTGGCTTCATCCAATAGTAGTAATCAATTCTAGTGATTCAAGTGTAATGTTTAAATCTTGTAGTAAGTATTTATAATATTAAAATTTTATTTTTTTCAAGGATCAATTGAAGAATCTGACTTATGGGGTGAATGAAAATAATATTACTTGTCACTCATTAGATAAGATTTAAAGGTTATTAATTTCATTCTTCTTCTTTGTTTCTTAAAATTGAAGTTGTTAAAAAAAAAAAGAAGAGGTTCAATTGAGAAAAATTAAGATATTCTGATAATTGAATTGTCAATAATAATAATAAGATTATATTATTCATAATAAATTAACATATGAAAAATAATTAATAATATTTAAACAATTTTATAAAAAATTTGTAACGTTTAAAATATTAAACTATCTTATTTTTACTTTTCTCTTTCTTAAATACACTACATTAAATAAAGATGCATCTAAAAATAAAATTAGTTTTAAAGTATATAAACCTTCTACCATGTGATCATCGTGGTCACGTTTTCCATTAAGAAGTAATTGAGGACACCTTAATTCTTTAAATTGAGTCCTTGACTCGGTATTTCCTTAGACGTTTAGTGCAGAGACTAACACTATGAATGTAATTCATACTTTAAAAAAAAAAAATAAAGTGTATAAAATTGATTTAAGAAGATCTAACCGTTCAAACTAAAAGGAAATTTATTGCCCATTATACCAAAAAGTAAACAAGAGAGCTTCAATTTCACTTCCCACCAAGTTGTGGTTGGGTGCGTTAAATCTCTTAGCCATAGTCTTTTTGAAAAAAAATAGAAAAAAGAAAAAAGGCTATGCTCTTAGCAATAATCAAACCTGTGTTCCACATTATCACGCGAGCCTAATGTAATGGACCGTGGAAAAATGTTGGCCTTCATTTGTGGGCTTCGCAATTAATTTCCATCTCCTAGTCATACTAACTATGATAGAAGCAAAAATGTGAAATTACTTGCAGATGAAGACCTCGAGAAATACTTGTTTATATTTTACTGTAAAAAAAAAAAAGAAAAAAAAAAGGAGTGAATTGTTGAAAGATTTCATGTAAAATTATTACTTTTTTTTATGGCGTTACATCAAAGTGCCAAAAACAATACACTGTTAATCCCACTAACAAATATTTATTTTTATTTATAGATTTGAAATCAATATAAGTGGAGGTAGCTATTTTTCACCTTATCAACTTCCCATTTACATTTTACTCTGCAATTTTAAGTTCAACAAGGCTAATTGAATAAGTGATCAAGTGCCAAATGTCAAAAGTATATAAGTGGAGGTTGTCATTGTTCAGTTGTTAATTTCCATGTTTAGCTACCTTTTTTGATGTTATTTTTTAAAAGTTTGAATTGCTGATTTGTGCATATTTAAAAAAAATTTAAAATAATTTAAAGATGCATTATTCATGTCGTTTAGTATATTTAAGAATTAAGTAATGGTTTTTAAGATTTACATTCTAAATTTGATATATACAACGAACACTTATTATAAATTAAATCCTATGTTTCAATTTTAATGTCATTTATGATAATTGTTTTACTCTTACATATAGCTGCTTTGACAAAGACAATAATAATAATAATAATAATAACTAATATAAAGAAAATGAAGTGTATACATCTTCACTTCCCTTTTCACACGCTTTAAGAGGTTTTTAATTAGGTGGTGTTATAGGGATAACTTTTTTATCTCATTTTTTTATATAGTTTTTATATATTATTAAATAAGTAGATGCATTCACTATTACAGGTCCAGCGTAAATTAAAAGAACCAATCATTTTAATGATACATCAAGTTGTACAAAAATATGAGATAAAAAAATTGTACAAAAAGCATTTCCCCTTTTAATTTGTTTATTTTGGCATGGAAAATGGAAACAGAGAGACTAATTAAGACCAATGAGGATATACTAGAGTTTGCCCTTTGAAATAATGTTGAGATTCTAGAGAAGCTATACAATAAGCTACTAATTAATTTGTCCTTTTATCCTTTTTCTTTTGTTTTTTTAATCTTTTTTTCCTATTTATTTCTTTATTTTATTAGGGTAAGTGATTCGGGAGAGGGGGTAGAAAAGGGGATTGAACCCTTGCTATGGTGGAAAAAGCTTACATTAAACTGTTGAGCCACTAGGCTGGCAGGCCTTCCTCTCTTCCTGTTTATAGAGAAATCTTCTCTTAGTCGGCCATGAATAAATAACACAAGATTATTCTCCCAAAATGTGACTAGGATTGGTCTTCATCTCTTTGTTCTCTCGCAATGTTCAATGCCAATGATTTGCAATGTATAATTCTTTTTCAGTGATGTGTTCAATTAATTGGAGGGGCGAGGCCCATGAAGGAACCAAATTGAAGTGAAGATTTTTTCTTTATTGCAAAGCTAGCTCTATCGTTTAGAGATTTGCATTAAAGGCGTGTGTTTGAACTTATAAGAACTTGAGATACCATAAAACACAGGTACTCTTGGCAAATTAAGAGTTTGATTAGGTGGTTTCACTCAATTTGATTATTTTCTCACAGTCAATCGAAGATACCACAGAGAGTGCTCAGACAGTCAGATACCATAGCTTTGCTCTAAGAAGAAGAAGAAGAAAATGAAGAGCACAACTTTTGTGTAATTTAATTGATTCTATGCTTTTGTATATCTCACAAGAACACTAGACATAACATTGTTTCTCAACTAAAGCATGGGATTTGGAACAAAATTAATCCATGAAAGCATTTAAAGAGAGAAAACATAAAAAATATATAAATGTTATAGAAAATGATCGTAACATTGCAGACAGCTTGCAGCTTCAAGGTCACTGTTCCATTGTCTTCAACCTCTGCATAACTGGATTCTGGAACCAAAAACAGATCGGCATGCTATATTCAACGGGATTGCTCCAGTTTTCCTAAATCCTTCTCTCTTAGTTTCAATATTCGAATCTAAGATCTTCATTTGAAGTTCTGAGATCTTAATGAATTCCTTAATCATAGAGCATGCACACAATCAATAAAGTTCTAAAATGAATAAACAGTAAGACAATGTCATGAGTAACTAATGAAACTATATAGTTACCACCTTCCAGAAAATGCTGCTCAAGAGAATCTTCCTCATTTCGTTTCTGCATGGATCTTTCATATATATACTTGACAGAAATTAATTAACATTTCCATACCTAACTAATTGAATTCTGTGAGAATTTAACTCTTTCTGGTTTTGCCATGGCACAGCATGATGATCATCTCTCTGTTACATTAACAATCACTGGTGGAAAGGTGGAACCCCAGATCACAGGTCCAGCATTCTTGCCCTGAAACAGCGGATCTACACCCTTCTGGAAGTGGATGTTGCAAGGCAAACTCTCTTATTTGAGAGCCAAGAGCTGCAGGATGATCTCCACATCAAGGACTATAATCTCCAGCCATTTTCTGAAGTTGCTCTTTCCGTGGAACCATACAACAATGATGAAAAATTCACTATTCAGGTGATGCTTTCTGTTGACTGTTCTGAAAATGTTAGGGTGCGAGAAACAATGTCAGTGGCAAAATTGAAGGGGAAAGTTGAGAAGCGTTTTGGTCCTGGAGAGTGCACTGCTTCGACTCGGTTGGGAGTGGTGATGGAGGATGACTTTCCACTCTCTGCATATTATGTCAATCCGAATTTGCTGATTGAAGTTACCATTAAGATTTGTTGGAGTTGTGGTGTCAAAGCTGCAGCAGTGGCAGCAAATGGAAAGAAGTGAGAGCTGCAACATGACTGCAAAATAGCAGCAAAGTGACAGCACAATAGAGCTTCACATGGGCTACAAGAAATGGCAGCAAACTTCATCATTTTAGTCAATGTTTTAGGTAGTTAATAATTATTGTATAAAGTAGAAAAATATTATTATTTTGTGTAGCCTTCCTCTATAAAAAGGAAGGAAGAAATTGAGTGAAAATTGACAGAAAGAGAAAGCATGGTTTCTCCTCTCCGGTTGGGTGAATGTCTGCACCCTTCCATGTTTATGGCTTAATGTTCCATGTTATGTTGTGTTGTTTATGGAAGAAAATGAGTTCTGACCTCACCAAAAGAGGGAACTCCGGGTGTCTCTCCTTCTCCTCCAAGTCCTCTCTCAATCCCTCCCTTCTTACCCTCAAAAATCCAACAAGATTGATCCTCGTTGATATTTGGTTCTGATAATTAGGAATGCTACTAATATATATCTGACCGGTAATAATGGAGAAGTGGATATCTAAGTGATAGTATTTAGTTTTATAATATCAATAAGGTAGTTGAATTTGTGCTGGATTATGTAGTAAAACCTAAGAAAAGTATGACACTGTCAACTAGAAAATTATAATAAAGTTAATCAATTATACAAAGCATCAAATTATTATTAATTTCAAGAATGAGACTTGTTTTTACTAGATAAAAAGGAGAATCAACAGAACCGATGTTACATGTTCTGAGCTCTCTAGTTTTGCACAAATGACTTGCATCCACAAACACGAAACAATTTGGTTTTGTTGTCAACTATTTTAGGCTGCTCACATGTGAAGTATATACACTATATGTACTATTTTCATTTGGAGTATGGCCAGTGGTGATCATCTCATTTTATAATCTACTATGAAGCTTCATTGAAACACCCTTCCTTAGACAGAGCCAAAACTAATGATGTTAGTAGCATACACTTGAACATCGACCTATACTTCTCTTTCACGCATTTCATTAAACATTACATCTGAACGAAGACAAGTTAGTGCCTCATACCTTTTAGATGTTTCTTCTACTCTATATGATGCTTGATCTAAGAATGGTTGGATTTTAGCAAAGAGGTTTTAAAATGAATAAACTGTGACACAGTGCCATGAGTAATTAATTAAACTATATAGTTTTTCACCTTCCACAAAATGTATCAACAATGATTACTTGGAGAAATGCAGCTAATCATGAGAATCTTCCTCATTTCATTTCTGCATGAATCTTTCACATATATACCTGACAGAAATTAGCATTTTCCATACTGAGCTAATTGAATTCTTTGAGAATTCATTCTTTCTGGGGTTTAGCCATGGCACAACAAGATGATCATCTCTCCGTCACCTTAACCATCACTGGTGGAAAGGTGAGATCCGAGATCACATGCCCAGTGTCCTCCACCATTGTTGACCTCAAGCAGAGGATCAACACCCTTCAGGGCATTTATGTTCCAAGGCAAACTCTCTACTACAACGGGCAAGAGATGCAGAACAATCTCCAGCTCAAGGACTATAATGTCCAGCCATCTTCTGAAGGTGGTCTGGTTGTGGAACCATACTGTGGAGATGAAAAACTCCCTATTCAGGTGGTGGACAGGGCTGCTGAAGCCACTTATTTTGTTAATGTGAAGGAAACAATACAAGTGGACTATTTAAAGCAGAAAGTTCAGAGGCGAATTCATCATGGAAAGTGCACTACTCTCACTCAGTTGGGGCTGGTGATGCAGAGTAGCTTTCCACTCAACGCACAAATTATGTCAATGATCGTTCAGTGATTGAAGTTACAGTAGAACCTCGTTGATATTTGGTAGTAATTAAAGATTATTAATTAATTAAAATATAAAGCTAGTAGTAATGAAGAAGTAGATGAGTAAGTAATAGTGTTCAGTTTTATGTTAACACAGAAGAATTGGAATATTGGTGCTGGATTATGCAGCAAATTATGAAATTGTCCACATTATATTATAATGAATCAGTGATATAAGCATTATTTACAATTTTCAACATTAATTATGTCTTATATTTATTGTGAAGTTAAGTATAGACATGAAATCCCTAGCTGGTGCTTCTCCATCATGTAAAGAACTAGTTATCCAGCAAATTTCACCACTGCAAAATGTAGAAGCCTCAAATCTAAGTATTACCTGAGGTTGCAGCTACAACTATCCAAATCTTGACATATGAAGGCTGCTCACATGTGAAGTACAAACTCTTTTCATCTGGAGTATGGAGCCTGCAAAGCAATGACAATCTCATTTTACAATCTACAAGCTTCATCTGAAACTCCCAAATAGACAACCAAAACTATTACTGTAGAGGTGGAATGGTACCTGCGGACTCCAGATGTATGAAGGCTGCTGCTTGAAAGTGAAGTATGTACTCATTCATCAGACATATGCACTGCAATGATCATCAAATTGTACAATCTATGAGCTTCATCTGATCTCCCAGCCTTAGAAAAACCCAAAATTGTTTATGTATAGATGGAGTAATACCCGCAGTATGTATGCAACACGTACAAGTATGTATGACTCACTTATAATTAAAAAAAATTAATTTATTACGTATATAATATTAAAGTCTTTTAATCTATGTTAGTATTCATGTGAAAAAGTAAGAAAATAACCGACAGTATAAAATCAAGTGCGTTTGGCCATTAATTATGAGGGCTGATTTATATCTTTCAAGGGATTTGAGGCCTAATTTGTATCATTTGAGGTGTTTGAGGGTTAATTAACACTGTTTTTTTTGTTAGGGACCATGTATTAATTTGGGATAAGTTTGAAGGCTTAACAGGGGTTTTGCTAAAAAAAAAAAATCCATTTTTTTAGCTGCTTTATCCACAATCTAATTGTAATCTGTACGGATTACTGGCAAGCAGCAATTTAGCATGTTGATGTGGATCCCATATCTGCCAAAAATCCAAAACATCCACTGCCCCACCCAAAAGCATCAACAGTAAAAAGACCAGATTTAGATACGATATAAGGTAAGATTATAAATTTATAACCTTATAATTATAATAGGATTTTCTATC